GCTTTGCAAACCCTCGGCCTTCTCTCGATGAGCTTCATGACCAAATTTATGCACCTGCCTAATTTAGTTTCAGTAATATTGCACACTTTCTGTAAATCCTATAAACTTCATTTCACTTCTTAAATGTCATTGTGTTTGTCTGCTATATGATATATTTACATGAAATCGCTGATCCAAACAACCAATGATTTATGAAGAAAAATTATGAAAATTATCAGGGGTGCCCAAACTTTTGCATACCACCGTAGACGTGTGAGGGGAGAGCAAGAACTTTGTGAGTCGCTGAGTCGGTTTTTATCTGAAAAGGCAACCCCACCCATATGGAAAAGAAATAGAAAAAACTTATAAAAGACTTGCATCAGATGTGGTACTTCATATAGTGAATCATAGAAGGCTTATATGATTTACTCATGAAAGTGGCCACTTTCATATATTGTTTTAGTAAGTATCCAAAACATACAAGTTTCATTTATAATTTTTCAAGGGATCTTATATCTGTTTTTACTCTTGTATGCTTTTCATACAAGTTTCACACAAGACAGATACAAACCTTATAAGATTTATAGATCTTTTCCATATGGGCAGCTAGCAACAATAAATGTTTTAGAAGCATCATGAGATTTCCTGTGGCGTTAACAGCCATGCCCATTGTTAAAGCGTTTAAGCTAGCTGCCATACATCATTGTACAGAGTCGATCAGACCCTTCATGAGTGACAGCTCACAGGTGATGATCCTCTGCTGTGATTGGCTCTTATAATTTGGCTAGGTTGGTCAGACAGAGATGAGGTATAAACAGGAAGTGCAGTGTCCATTTACTTTTGAACCTTTGAAAGTGGGCGACCATAGATAAAAATTGCTGTAATTACAAAATATTTATATTAACCATTAATATTAAACCTTTACATAAAGCAAGCCTTTAAATTGAAGCTGAAAGTCTACACTTACGTGATATTTTGATTTGATTTAAAATATAATTTGGTTGTGTACAGAGGCAAAAGGACAACAACTGTGTAACTCTCCGTACATGTATGTAGTGCCGTGGAAATACCCTCAAAATCTTGAGATCCCTTAACCACAGGTAGAAAAAGCACAGCAGTGTTCTCCATATTCTCTCTGGTCTCTAACAGGTTCAGTTGATTCTAGCTGTTGTGATGTACCCCACTGTTGTAGTAGTGTAGTGTCTCTGACCAAACAGACCCTGCAGGCTGTACAACAGCAGCCTGACTGTCATTCAGTATGAAGATGAAATCCTTGGACCCATTGTTAGACCCTACGCTGGTGCAGGGTTCCCCCTGCTGCACAACAGGCCTCGGCCTCAGTGGTGAGAGTACGACACCACGTGCAGGAACTCAGTGATGTCCTGGTCCACATCTAGGAGGAGATCCACAGGACATCTCATTAGGAGCAGGCCCTGACATTCAGGCATGCCTACACGAACATAAGGGGGCAAAATTGGACTAACCTTCCACCACATTGATTTTGAAGGTGTCTTTGAATTCAGCCTTCTGTAAGCAGCTCTCCTCGAAATCTGTGCACTTGGTAACTAACTGGGTTAAATGTAGTGGCTCTGAAAATTAGGCCCCAAGGATCTGTTAGTTTCTAAGAGTAGTAAACTATAAGAAGCCTTTGAGTGATGTTATAATAATATGCAGGTTTTTACTGTTTCACAAAATGAATGTCCACATTTTAAATGCGGGAAATTTTATTCAGCTGGACCAAAGCAAAAGCCAAAACAAGTAATAATACACAGAATCAAATGTCTTGATGCATGCACAATCATCCAGGTAAGTAAATCCCAGAAGGTTGATTCTGTTCTTCTGGATGTTTCCAGTGGAAGAAACGTTTCATCATCATCATCAGCTGACTGCAGGTTTCCAACCTTATAAACAGGACATTTGTACAATGACTGAAACCAGCACCACTGAAGGAACAATGGGCTGGGAGGTCAGCTCCTTCATCATTAATATGCAGATTCTCATGACCATTGATCAACAGCCACTGATCAACAGCCATGAGTACCACTCACAGAGAGTTGGGGAATGGCTGTTTATAAGGCGGAAACCTGCAGTCAGCTGAGACTGAAAGAGTCATCGAATGAAACGTTTCTCCCACTGAAAACATCAGATGAACCGAGTCAAATACGGGAACTATCTAAACTACCTGCTGTGAGCTAAACGGGCACATCGAGGCCTGAAGTGGACTCTGTGTCACACTGATAGTAATCGTCTACCAGGAAAGCAACATCGCACTTTGCTCTCAGTTTTCTGAAAACTGAGAACAATTGAAACTTTAAAAGGACTTCATCACATTTTTGTTACATTTTTGTTACATTTTCGTTACATTTTTGTTATACTTCATGCCTCATTCAGTTAATGCTGCTGTACTTCAGCAGTATTTATCATTACCTCACTCACATGAACTTTGGACTGTAGATCATTCACATGAGCCAAATAAATTGAACACACAGTCATGACATTTAGTTTTGATTCCAACATGATCTCGTTTTAACTCACTACATTAGAACACTTTTCCTCACTTCTTCTTTTTATAACGCTGTTTGACCACCTCACCTAGATCTCAGGTGGCTGAACCACCTCGACAGGCTCCGTCTGCAGGAACAGCGACTCTCAGGCTAC